CCGCCAGCCGCGATGCGCCGAGCGAAGCCGAAGCGAGCCGATGTTAGCCGAGTCCTAGCATCCTGGTCGCTAGGCAACGCAAGTCAACAGCGGTGACGTCACCAAGTAGTAACAGCGGTTACCTCCGCTAGCGTTACATGCAAAGGGTGCCTATTACGTGGCCGTTTTCCCGTATTGTCCGATCGAGGATACATAGGGAGCAGTGAAGGCTATTCACAGTCAGTTGTACAGAGTTGTACTGAGTCAGTCAGTGAGTCCTGGAGCTACCGCCGAGTTAGCCAGCAACTAGTCAGTGGTATTCTGGCATTTGGAGTGTACTAATTGTGATACTGCAGATAGCAGTAATCGTCAGATTGTAATTTGGGTGATTGTGAGAGCGGATGTGAAATAAAATCCGCTACATCAAATACATCGAGAAGTTATTTGTCGCGATATACGCCCGATACGCGACAATACGCAAAACTATCTTGGAAACCAATTGGTGTATGCACATGAAACCTCGGTCATAGGAATTGTACACAATAAGCTACTAAAAGTGTAATAAAATTTGTAATGTCCTGAATTTTTCAAAATGCAAAGAAAAAGAAGCTTTGTAAATTTTGATTAAAAATGCAAAATTTGTTATGTAAAGGATTATTCAATGAAAACTTGAGGAGGTAGCATAAACTGTGTTCCTTACATAGAGTATCAATTTCAGCTTGATTTTTTTAATCCTTGTCTGAGCTGTGCACGTGTCAAAGAAAATTCATTTCTCGGAATTATCACCCCCCAGTGATCGTAACGTCTACGACTAACCTGATTCAGTTGCGAAAGCAACTGCAAGGTGTGGTTAAAGAAAACTTCGAGTTCTGTAGCACTAGAAACGGAACCAGAGTTATCACGAGAGACATGGAGGATTTACAGTACGTCAGATCCCACTTCGACATCAATAACCTCTCCTATTACTCGTTCTATGCCAAAACCGAAAAACCGATGAAGACAGTAGTACGCCAATTGCCACACAACTCCCTTTCAGAAGACAAATCTGTCGAGTTGGTGAGCCTCGGTGTTCATGTTATTAACGACTAGCAGATCACAGCCACCCGTCGGTCACCTCCCGAGGGATCAAAACCATGAACCTCCCGCTTTTCCTAATAACCTTGCCGAGGACGGCAAAATTCCCAGAAAATTTTGAGTGCCAAGCCTCTGCTACATAGCGATCAGGGTGGAGGCATATAGAAATCATTATGGTCTTACGCAATGCCATAGATGGCAGCAGTTCGGCCACGTCTAGGCACACTGCAGGCAACCTCCCCGCTGCTTGTGGTGCGGAGGAGGTCACCTGCACAAGGAGTGCCCAAAGAAAGAGAATACATCTTCCACCCCAACATACTCTAACTGTCGGTTGGCAGTCTGTTGCAGAAAAAGAAGTCGCAGAGGACACCCAGGACTAAAATGGGAAGGGTCTTCCAAATTCACCAGTCCTTCGCGACGGCGCTCCGAGGCAGGACAGAGGAACAGCAACAGCCTTAGACACATCAGGTGGCAGTGGCAGGTCCCGCCACAATGGAACACAAGGTCCCTGCAGCCTTACCGCAACACGAACAGCAGACAGCAGGTCTGCCAGTTTGGTCCCCTAATAAAAACAGTTTGCTTCTGGACAAAATGTTGAAAGTAGTAGTGACGGTAGTACAGCAGAGTATGAGTTTAATGGCGCTATGTTAGAGGAGGCTAAAACACTGACGATTACAAAAATTGTCTTAAATCTCGTGGACCAAAATGGCCACTAGAATTCATAAGCCCATCTAAGTCACAGCATTTAATGCGAATGGCATGATCTGCTGTACGGAGCCTGGACTGGCAGAGACCTTGGATATACTGTACGAGTATATACATTCAGTGACATGTAAAATGTAAATTGTGCATACTGTGCATAATTGTGCATACTTATTACTGCTGACTCGTCAGAGAGAGCGCCCCGGATCAACAAACCTGCAACTATCATACAGTAATAAAGATCTGGCATTAAACCCCCGATGCGTGCTTTATGCTAACAGAGATTGGCCGACTGACCGTCGGTAGTAACATAGCTCTGACTCTGACTTTGACTTTGACTCTGATTAGGAGAGTGTCTTGTGATGGCAATGAGAATAGTAGGAGAGTGGTGTGAGATTCCCGCCAGCCTGAGAGATAATTAGTTGGAACAATGAGTGAGTTCTGCGACTGTCATTGGTCAGTAAGAATGTGAACATGGAAGCTGGGGAAGCTACGGCGATTGATGCCGTTACCAGGCTATAACCGGTGAAGATGGCGCAGATTGAAAACACTTAATGCGTGCTGTAGTAAACTGTACAGTGTGAATTAGCGATAGCGGTGTAATTCCTTGTAGTTACGTTCTGTAAATGTTCAATAAATCCAATTGCCGATCCAAACCCCGTCTATAGTCACTCATACACGTGACAATATGTTGTATCAGATTTTCAGAAAATCACACTTAGTTGGTTCAGGATGCAGTGCAAGGGTATTCCGTTGAGGCAATAGCCAAGGTACGTTTCTTCATATGTACGCGTTTGCACGCAAGTTCATTTTCTTGTGTATGGTTGGTAACTTCAAGTTACCTGTAACAAGAATATTTTTTTTCATAAGATCCTTTTTCAGCATATCAAGACAACTGATAGCAATACGAAAAACATATCGTGCTTCAATGTGATAGAGCTGCGTTCCTCTACAAGTATAGCAAACAGTTTGCAAATTTAGCGAATAAAAGAAGAGTGTTGGAGAGTGACTTTTCTTTTTCGTCGGTCAAGGCAAAGGAATTTGTGATGCTGTACGTGGTACAAGAAAATGGCAGGTGAAAAAATTGTTCAAGGTCGTTTACGTAAACATTCACTGACACTCGAGAACGAGAAAGCATACATGAGGATGAGTCAGATGGACATTATGGAAACGGAAACAGAAACACATCATTTTTCTGATGGCAGCAGCAACTGCCTGGAATCGTGAAAGTCCATCGTTGTCCTTCCACTGGCCACGACATTGATTGGGTTCAAATGACAAATTTTCCGAAGTACTACTGAAACCGACTCAAGACACGCAGTATCAGCATATCCTCCATCAAAAATACGGACTAGCATTACAAATTTTACAGAAAAATTATAGAAACAGATGAACTGTAGACTTTCGCAATTCGTGACATGGAAAGACAACGCAAATTTAAGTTCTGTGTTCTGTGATAATACGAAGCATCATTCCAATAAAGTATTCAGTTGCTACATGCTTCTGTAAAAAGCTGTTGATCTGGTATGAAATGCCTGATATT